AAAACCTCAACAACTTCTGACCTGGGGCTAAGTTGGCCGAGACCGTGTGTGTGTCTTGGAACTGCTGCGCTCGGAGCCGCCCCTCGGCCGACACCTCCCGCCTACTGACGCTCGACTTCACAGGCACCGTCGAAGGCTCATTCTGACTGAAGTCGAAGCTCTGCATCCTCTGCAGCCTTTTCCGATGCTTTTTCTGACTGGAAGCCTCGTGGTTGGGATAGGTGATGCTTCTGAACTTCATAGCTAACTTGTTGGTCGCCATGACGGTAACAAGCGTCACGGAACGAACACGTTCCACTGTCACAAATATGTGTTCCAGTTCACAGGAGTTATAACTCGAGTCAGATATTCTGGCGAGAGCAGCGTCCACCTGCTAACCTTGCCACAGTACACTCTAGAGTGAAGAGTCCGGCTTCCCGCCTCCTTATATGAGGCAGGCGGTACGCCACGCCCCCTGCGTCCTCCCAGTTGCCAGCGCGTTCTCTCAGTCTTCCTGAAGTCAAAAAAATCAACGAACTCTTCTACGATACGTTCCTAGCACATGCTATAATCTTAAAAAATTAAATCCTTAAACTATTATTAACAATTTAGCAGGAAAATGCTCAAATTAATTAAACGAAAATCGGGTAAAAAATATATTTCTTTTGATAATCAATATATATTATTTCCTTAAATTCCGCTGAGAAGACTTGATCTGTGACTGGCGATAAGGTATTGTGTTACTCCAGCAGGTGGCGCGCGCGGGCGCATGCGCACGCCTACCTCAGCATCGTAGTATTGGTAGTGACTGAGGCCTCAGGCAACACTTGTTGCTCCTTGTGGGGCTACCCTGGGGGTCATGGGCTACTACACTGGGGGTCACGGGCTACTACACTGGGGGTCACGGGCTACTACACTGGGGGTCATGAGCTACTACACTGGGGGTCATGGGCTACTACACTGGGGGTCATGGGCTACTACACTGGGGGTCATGAGCTACTATACTGGGGGTCATGGGCTACTACACTGGGGGTCACGGGCTACTACACTGGGGGTCATGCGCTACTACACTGGGGGTCATGGGCTACTACACTGGGGGTCACGGGCTACTACACTGGGGGTCATGCGCTACTACACTGGGGGTCATGGGCTACTACACTGGGGGTCATGGGCTACTACACTGGGGGTCATGGGCTACTACACTGGGGGTCATGGGCTACTACACTGGGGGTCATGAGCTACTACACTGGGGGTCACGGGCTACTACACTGGGGGTCATGAGCTACTATACTGGGGGTCATGAGCTACTACACTGGGGGTCATGCGCTACTACACTGGGGGTCATGGGCTACTACACTGGGGGTCATGGGCTACTACACTGGGGGTCATGGGCTACTACACTGAGGGTCATGCGCTACTACACTGGGGGTCATGCGCTTCTACACTGGGGGTGATGGGCTACTACACTGGGGGTCATGCGCTACTACACTGGGGGTCATGAGCTACTACACTGGGGGTCATGGGCTACTACACTGGGGGTCATGAGCTACTACACTGGGGGTCATGGGCTACTACACTGGGGGTCATGAGCTACTACACTGGGGGTCATGCGCTTCTACACTGGGGTCATGGGCTACTACACTGGGGGTCATGAGCTACTACACTGGGGGTCATGGGCTACTACACTGGGGGTCATGGGCTACTATACTGGGGGTCATGAGCTACTACACTGGGGGTCATGCGCTTCTACACTGGGGGTGACGGGCTACTACACTGGGGGTCATGGGCTACTACACTGGGGGCCATGAGCTACTACACTGGGGGTCATGGGCTACTACACTGGGGATCATGGGCTACTACACTGGGGGTCATGGGCTACTATACTGGGGGTCATGGGCTACTACACTGGGGGTCATGGGCTACTACACTGGGGGTCATGCGCTACTACACTGGGGGTCACGGGCTACTACCCTGGGGGTCATGGGCTACTACACTGGGGGTCATGGGCTACTACACTGGGGGTCATGGGCTACTACACTGGGGGTCATGGGCTACTACACTGGGGGTCATGAGCTACTACACTGGGGGTGACGGGCTACTACACTGGGGGTCATGCGCTACTATACTGGGGGTCATGGGCTACTATACTGGGGGTCATGGGCTACTATACTGGGGGTCATGGGCTACTATACTGGGGGTCATGGGCTACTATACTGGGGGTCATGAGCTACTACACTGGGGGTGACGGACTACTACACTGGGGGTCATGGGCTACTACACTGGGGGTGACGGGCTACTACACTGGGGGTCATGGGCTACTATACTGGGGGTCATGAGCTACTATACTGGGGTCATGGGCTACTATACTGGGGGTCATGGGCTACTATACTGGGGGTCATGGGCTACTATACTGGGGGTCATGCGCTACTTCGCTGGGGGTCATGCGCATTCATATATTATATTATATATATATATATATATATATATATATATATATATATATATATATATATATATATATATATATATATATATATATATATATATATATATCAACCACACTATCGTGGATATAAACATTTTATTTCGTTCATAATTATACAAATGACGAAAGACACTATATATTGTGTCTTTTTCTCCCCCTTAACTAATGTATATCAACTATTATCACAAATGTTCATGGTTTCAAATCAATTTTAACTTGAAAAAACGTTTAGCGAGTTGTTGTTGATGGCGGGAACGTTTGTGTGACGTCACGTTGTTTGCCTCGACAGCCAGATGCCACTACGTACAATTGCCATACGTTATATCGGGTTTTCTTCCTATTGGGGAGTGTTATACATGCTGCTGTGACGGTATGTCCACTCACAAGATGAGTGGCGCTGCCCAATACTGTCACTATGGCGGTGTGTCCACTCACAAGATGAGTGGCGCTGCCCAATAAACTCGCCCCTCGGGGCAAAATTTAAATTTAAAAATGTAATCGTTTACATAAAAGATCAATAAACTCTTAAGCACAAAGTAGAGACATCGACCATTTTCACTACTCTACATACATTAATTTGTATTCACTGATCTACACTAGTTTCCTTTCGCTAGCAGTGTAAATGATGTAAACAGGTTTGTGTGTTATTGACCAATGAGACTCGTCGTTAAAGAGTGCGTGGATAGTCGTAATCTAACCCAGTACTACGACAATTATACACTTAACAGTGGATGATGTGGTGGCGAGTCCCCCGTGGGTCGACGTATATCATGTAGGCGGCCCTGGTGTGTGGCACGTTTATAAAGCCAAAAGAAAAACACGAAACTCACTCAAGTTGTTTAAATTTGCCCACAGCCAACACGGAGAGGGCGATTACGGGTGACCCAGACCTGCAGCACATCACAACCCTTTCTTCATCTAACATGATAACAACGTTTATTGATACCGTCGACCACAGTGGCTGGGTGGGTGCTGGGGGAGGGTCTATACACACACTCTATACGAGGGGTCTATATGGGTCTATACACACACTCGCCAAGGTGGCGAGTGTGTGTATAGACCCATATGGGGCTTGGGGGTGAAAGATCTTGGACCAGCACAAGTTCATGCAGGTCGGCGTTCAATCCCCGACCGTCCAACTGGTTGGGCCCCATTCCCTTCGTCCCTCCCCCCCTTCCCATCCCAAATCCTTATCCTAACCCCTTGCAAGTGCTACATAGTCGTAATGTCTTGGTGCTTTCCCTCGATAATTCCATTCCCTTCCCCAACAATTACAATGACAACACGGCCTCACCTGCACCTTACACAACTGCTGATCCAGCGTCGTTGACTTGTTGCAGAGTTGAGTCTCCTCTTCCGATAAGACGGTAAACGTTAGATCCACTATCGTGTTTCCTCTTACCAATACAGCAGTCCAACCACGATACACCGCCAGAAACACGTGTCTAAGAGTTGTGGCCAATCTCCTCAAACCACCAGACCAAGTTTCTACACCTCGCCCGACACTCACACACTCACACACTCACACACTCACAAACCCCCACACTCACACACTCACACACCTGCTCCTGCTACTGTAGCATGGACAACCGTCGCACACTCACGTGAGCCGACACACTCCTCACTTGATCACCAACAGTCACTATAGTTTCGGAATGACTGGATGATCGAACTGGGTCGCCGACGCTAATTTGACAACAAACACCGTCTTTAACAGCTCGTACAGTCGAAGAAAAGTATTAATTTACACCAGTTTCTTGGAAAGTACAAAATGGCAACGCTTTTTATATTGTCGTAGTATTATGTTATAGGGTTATAATACGAATAAATAGGCGCTTTATTTACTACGAGTCTCATTGGTCAAAACACCACGCACCGGTTTATATAATTTACACAGCTATCGAAAGGAAAATATAATACAGTAAATATAAATTAATGTATGTATATTAGTAAAAATGAGAGATAGTGAAAATAACAAAAAAGGAACTTATTTGCAGGCGATGAGTCACAATAACGTGGCTGAAGTATGTTGACCAGACCACACACTAGAAATTGAAGGGTCGACGACGTTTCGGTCCGTCCTGGACCATTCTCAAGTCGATTGTGATGAGGACAGGTAGGGACAGGTATTAAATAGGCAAGAGAGAGCTGAGGAGGAAAGAGCTGACTCTCCTCCTCAGCTCTCTCTTGCCTATTTAATACCTGTCCCTACCTGTCCTCATCACAATCGACTTGAGAATGGTCCAGGACGGACCGAAACGTCGTCGTCCCTTCAATTTCTAGTGTGTGGTCTGGTCAAGGAACTTATTTGTTATTTGTATATATTGCATCAACTTCTATAAAAGAGAATGCAGTTAGCCTCTTGCAAGTTTTTATGGGAAATCGTGATTGTATGTCGAGTCTCATAGGGTGTTGGGGGGTCGATCCCCTTGCCCCTCCTTAGGTAGGGTTGCTCCTTTGCGACACTTAAAGATGTCTATGAAGCCTGAAATGTGAATTTGATTGTCTATAGAGTGTTTACCCTACAGATTTCTCTGGTGTTAAAATGGTGATTCAACGTCGATAAAGTGCATTCAACGTCGATAACGTAGATTCAACGTCGATAACGTAGATTCAACGTCGATAACGTAGATTCAACGTCGATAACGTAGATTCAACGTCGATAACGTAGATTCAACGTCGATAACGTAGATTCAACGTCGATAACGTAGATTCAACGTCGATAACGTAGATTCAACGTTACTCGATCATATTGTGTCAACTGAGAGAGAGAGAGAGAACGGGAAGCGGGAGGGCGATTGAGAGGCGGAGAGAGATCATGCTGGGAGAATGGCATCCATTATCCCTGTGTGTGTGTGTGTGTGTGTGTGTGTGTGTGTGTGTGTGTGTGTGTGTGTGTGTGTGTGTGTGTGTGTGTGTGTGTGTGTGTGTGTTTACTAGTTGTGTTTTTGCGGGGGTTGAGCTTTGCTCTTTCGGCCCGCCTCTCAACTGTCAATCAACTGTTTACTAACTACTTTTTTTTTTTTTCACACCACACACACACACACACACACCCCAGGAAGCAGCCCGTGACAGCTGACTAACTCCCAGGTACCTATTTACTGCTAGGTAACAGGGGCACTTAGGGTGAAAGAAACTTTGCCCATTTGTTTCTGCCTCGTGCGGGAATCGAACCCGCGCCACAGAATTACGAGTCCTGCGCGCTATCCACCAGGCTATGAGGCCCCCCCCCTGTGTGTGTGTGTGTGTGTGTGTGTGTGTGTGTGTGTGTGTGTGTGTGTGTGTGTGTGTGTGTGTGTGTGTGTGTGTGTGTGTGTGTGTGTGTGTGTGTGTGTGTGTGTGTGTGTACTCACCTAGTTGTACTCACCTAGTTGTGCTTGCGGGGGTTGAGTTCTGGCTCTTTGGTCCTGCCTCTCAACTGTCAATCAACTGGTGTACAGGTTCCTGAGCCTACTGGGCTCTATCATATCTACATTTAAAACTGTGTATGGAGTCAGCCTCCACCACATCACTGCCTAATGCATTCCATCCGTTAACTACTGACACTGAAAAAGTTACTTCTAACGTCTCTGTGGCTCATGTGGGTACTCAGTTTCCACCTGCGTCCCCTTGTTCGCGTCCCACCAATGTTGAATAGTTTATCCTTGTTTACCCGGTCGATTCCTCTGAGGATTGTGTGTGTGTGTGTGTGTGTGTGTGTGTGTGTGTGTGTGTGTGTGTGTGTGTGTGTGTGTGTGTGTGTGTGTGTGTGTGTGTGTGTGTGTAAAAAATTAGTAGTTAGTAACAGTTGAATGATTGACAGTTGAGAGGCAGGCCGAAAGAGCAGAGCTCAACCCCCGCAAGCACAACTATGTGAATACACACACACACACACACACACACACACACACCCACACACACACACACACAAGCAAAAAACTACCCTTGTGTACAGAGTCAACCATCATGGAGACTTTGGACTTCACAAAAGGTAGAATGAAAGACAAAGTTTACAACGCAATATATTTTTTTATGAAGGGGGATTCGCAGTTACAAGACTTGTAAAAAATATACAAATTCGTTTCTGTAGCAATGATTAAGACATATGTGTTGAGCATAGAATAACTACAATCATTACTTCCTTTATGTAATGATCATGAGATCATTCCATGATTAATATTAATCTTTTAAACATTCGTACAGGGACAGCAATGTGCTCTACGTCTCTCGAAAAAAATATATATATACATATATATATATAATATATATATATATATTATATATATATATATATATATATATATATATATATATATATATAATATATATATATATATATATATATATATCAGATTATTCATATCAATATACCTCCTCCACGAGGCTTTACTCACAGAGTTTAAGCTTGAACTGAGCAGCATACAGGTAACTGTGAACTGTGCAACACACATAGAGGTAACTGTGAACTGTGCAACACACAGAGACGACTGTGAACTGAGCAACACAGTGACTTAAGGAGCGGAGTAACATCGTTGACCGGTATATGTGTCACACTTTTTTGATGAGAAAATTCTCTTGCCTTTCAGTTTACCAAATGTTTTGACAACCTTGTTATCCAACTTGAGCAACAGTGAGTCTTAGACAGGAGTGCTTCTCTCTCAGGAGTGTGCTTTTTCCACAGGATTACTTCATCCAAAGGATTGCTTCTTCGTCAGGAGTGTTTCTTATACAGGAATAATCTTCTCACAGGAGTGCTTCTTCAACGGGAGTGCTTCTTCAACGGGAGTGCTTCTTCAACGGGAGTGCTTCTTCAACGGGAGTGCTTCATCCACGCGAGTGCTTCTTTTACCGGAGTGCTACTTACACAAAGAGTACCTTTCAACACGAGTGGAAAAGGTGCGCTCCATCCACTGGAGTGCATCTTCCATGAGATTGCTCGTTTCCACAGGAATGTCTCTTCTTCATGAGTGAAACCTTGCACAGAAGAGATTCTTCCACAGGAGTGTTTCATTCACAGGAGTAAGTGTTCGGGAGAGGAGTTGCTCCTCTGAAACAATGGTTCTTCATATCACACCACAATGACGAAAGCATGATATTAATCAACTTAATTTTTAGTCCATTATCAAGGAAGAAAGAGCAAAAATAATACATGGAATCAATAAGCAAGACCAAGCTTGTTGGTGGAACACTGGATGGGCAGCCCCGAGAGGCCCCGTCGGTACTCGTGTCGGGTCGGGGGCCGAAGGATCCTCTGCTGAGGCGACTTCTCCCGACGGGGAGTTTCCTTGCCGCAGGTGAGAGAGAAGAGCGACCATGCCTTCCGGAACTGCGACCGCCGCCTGCGTCCCTCTGTTGACACTGGCGCGTGCGCCGTGGTGCTGTTGACGGAGGTGGTGGATGATCCTGGCTCAGATGGTAGTTTTGTAGATGGCGGAAGGCTGACGGAGGAACAAAACTGCCTTCGGCGTTCCATAATGGAAGCGTTTCTGCAGCAGCTCTTCTCCGAGGCGCGACTGTGTCTGTGGCAGGACTCCTGACTGCTCGAGGGACTCAGACTCCGGCGCTCGGGAAAATGCCGTTGCCAGTCGACCAGCTTTTCCGCGTTACCAGAAGCGTTGGTCCTCGAGAGAATCCTGTGTTTGGACTTGGTTGGTGAGACGCAGTCCGGCTCGACCGCTGGGCCACACCAGCACTCGTCGGAGAACCTTAAGATCTTCTGTGCGGGCGCAAAGGCGCTTGTGGGGGAGTTCGTGTACTGAAAGTATTCCGCTCGAAGTCGGCCCTCTGCCGACACGTCCCTCATCCTTCGCTCCTCCCTCAGGGCTGACTCTTCAAAACTGCAATCGAAGCTTTTCATCCTCCTTAACGAGAATCTGGCTTTGATTTTGGTGCTGTCTTTCAGCGGGTAAGTGGTGCTCCGACAGCTCAGTGCCTTCTTGATAGTTGCCATTGTCACGGAGTTATATCAACTGCCAACTGAAAATCTTCACTTATGCCAAAACTGAGAATGTCCACATAATATCCGTGATGTCAGTCACGGCTTGAGCACCAGTATTCCAGCACCAACGATGAGCAGAGCAGAAATGTAATCGCATTTATGGATGACTCGGCTTAAATATGTTGGCCAGGCTCCGCCCCCACCCACTGGATGGCTGCCATACGTACGAGAGTCTGCTCAGTGTCACGTGTTGAGTGCCACCACGGACGGAGGGAGAGCAGCCACGGCACCACTGACGGGGGGGGGGGGGAGAGCAGCCACGGCACCACTGACGGGGGGGGGGGAGAGAGCAGCCACGGCACCACTGACGGGGGGGGGGGAGAGCAGCCACGGCACCACTGACGGCAGGGAGAGCAGCCACGGCACCACTGACGGGAGGGAGAGCAGCCACGGCACCACTGACGGCAGGGAGAGCAGCCACGGCACCACTAACGGGAGGGAGAGCAGCCACGGCACCACTGACGGGGAGGGAGAGCAGCCACGGCACCACTGACGGGAGGGAGAGCAGCCACGGCACCACTAACGGCAGGGAGAGCAGCCACGGCACCATTGACGGCAGGGAGAGCAGCCACGGCACCACTGACGGGGAGGGAGAGCAGCCACGGCACCACTGACGGCAGGGAGAGCAGCCACGGCACCACTGACGGCAGGAGGAGCAGCCACGGCACCACTGACGGGAGGGAGAGCAGCCACTGCACTACTGACGGCAGGGGGGAGCAGCCACGGCACCACTGACGGCAGGGGGGAGCAGCCACGGCACCACTGACGGCAGGGAGAGCAGCCACGGCACCACTGACGGGGAGGGAGAGCAGCCACGGCACCACTGACGGCAGGGGGGAGCAGCCACGGCACCACTGACGGCAGGGGGGAGCAGCCACTGCACCACTGACGGCAGGGAGAGCAGCCACGGCACCACTGACGGCAGGGGGGAGCAGCCACTGCACCACTGACGGCAGGGGGAGCAGCCACTGCACCACTGACGGCAGGGGGGAGCAGCCACGGCACCACTGACGGCAGGGGGGAGCAGCCACGGCACCACTGACGGCAGGGAGAGCAGCCACGTGCACCACTGACGGCAGGGGGGAGCAGCCACGGCACCACTGACGGCAGGGGGAGCAGCCACGGCACCACTGACGGCGGGGGGAGCAGCCACGGCACCACTGACGGCAGGGGGAGCAGCCACGGCACCACTGACGGCAGGGGGGAGCAGCCACGGCACCACTGACGGCAGGGGGAGCAGCCACGGCACCACTGACGGCAGGGGGGAGCAGCCACGGCACCTCTGGAGTGCTGGTGTTGCACACAGTTCTCAACTCTACATGGAAACTTGTGTAGCAGTCAACTCTTAATGAGTCCAAGAATATTACCATAATTACTATGGCATATTAATGTATCTGTGAAAATATATATATATATATATATTATATATATATATATATATATATATATATATATATATATATATATATATATATATATATATCAAACTCATCTTAGCTTTCAGAGCTGAGAAATAAGATTAAGAGTTCCAGAAACAATTATCTATCAGGTTACTGAAA